ACTCCAGGCCCGGTGTCCTGCAGGTTTTACAACAGAATAATCCTTTAATTGTCCCACAAGGGGAAATTTGGGTGTAACAGCAGCAAGAAAGACACGTATACAAACAAACAGTACACAAGACACAGAACAGAAACATACACAATTTTTACATATTTTAGACGTGTCCTTGAGCCAACACAGCTGATTTAAATGGCTAAATGACCTCAACATGTCTTGAAGTTCTCCAGAGGCCTGGTGATGACATAATCATTTGATTCAGGTTGACCCAGGGTGAGATCTAAAACCTGTAGGACCGGCCCTTGAGGCCTGGAGTTCCCCAGCCCTGCTATAGAGGTTACACAGGTAGTCCAGCTGCTCAAGGACAGCACATTAAACCATTGCCATTTATTGTATCTCCCAAAAGTGTCTCAAGACCATTATGAGATTCCAGCAGACAGACAGCGAGTTGTGTGAAGAGGAACAGGATGAGCATCGCCAGAGCCGTTACAAATTTACCTCCAGTTTCTGACCAAACAAACAGAAAGGGCCCAAATTCCTCTAGTGGGCCCTGTGATCACTGCCTGGCACCGTGAAGCCTGATTGGAATTTTCCATAAAATACTGTTGTGGCAGGGGTGTGCTCGAGGGCAGCGCCAGGGAGGCTGAGGGCAAGCTGGGAGGAATCACACTGATGAGCTCTGTTCCCTCTTTAGTGACGCCGGGGACAGTGGAGCCAACCAGAAAGCTGGCCACGGAGAAACCAAAGGTGCCGAGCTGCAAGCGTGGTGTGTGCCATAACGTTAAAGGAAGAAAGAAACAGTTAGGGAACGCTGTGTGGCTCCAAGTCTTTCACAACTACTGACGTTCTGTGGTGATCACGGATGAGAGCAGGTTCACTGTCAGCACATGTGGCTGATGTGAAGGGTCTGGAGAGGTCATGGAGAATACCTGAAGCTAGAATCCACACATACAAATCACATCACTGAGAGGTGTACACAGTGAACAACAACACAGCACTCACAATGGAGGTTTTTAACTATAAAGACAAAGAAGCAATAATGAAAACAGCCAGTAATGTTCTATCAGGACTCCTGGAGTAACGAGATGAGACGAGCTCGGGAGCTCATGGCATAATATCGCATTCATGACAATAAGGAGAGGCCACATATCTGTAACAGCTCTGCTGAGGCCAAAGATTTCATCAGGAGCATCCAGGTAAAGAAAGGTCAGCTGGAAGTAACACAGGAGGATCTTGGAGCTTCCGTGTGAATAAAAAGTATGATTTTTAAACAAAAACACTGATGACACAACAGCAGTGACGATGACGCTGTCGTAGTTTAACATGGAGTCAGTCTGCAGACAGCACAAAGAGCAAAAAGCTGGTGGGAGTCCTTCATCCAAGCAGCTGATTGACAAACTCCGATGTGAAGAAAGTAACTTTGTAACTTTGTAGCTGTTGACTGTTAACTTCTGATACAATGTTTCAATCGGGCA